TTGGTTGTTAGGTCCAATATAGGTGCTGGGAATTGGGCCTGGATCCTCTGCAAGACCTGTCATTGCCCCTAACCTCTGAGCCATCTACCAGCCTTAAGACTAATTTTTGATAAAGAACTATATGTATTTAGGAGGTGCAATGTGGTATTTTGTTCTCTACCTACATTTTTGAAATTCACTATTAATTTAACACAATTACAATTTCATGAATTTTCACATTAAAATGTGTATTCTGGTTGAAATATCACAGGATAGTTTTGAGATTGAAAACTGCCTTATAAGCCTAATTATAATAAATTGACTACTCCTTAAATATTGCCCCTGAAATTTCAAGAATGGGAAAGTATTAATTTCAACTAAAGCTCTCCCAGTTCATCAGAGGAGACACATTTTATGTCTCAGATAAGTACATGATAAGCCAGAGTTTTTTTTAAAAAACAAAACAATGTCCTTCAGAATATGAATGGATCATGTCAATTTGGTACATTTATATAGTGGGGTCCTACTCAGTGATAAAGGAAAAAGAAGTCAAGGAATTTGCAGGCAAGTGGACAGAACTAGAAATGGCTGGACTAAGTGAGGTAAAAAAAGATGCCAGAAAGCTAGGCACAGGTGTTCTGTCTGAAGGATGGATTCTACACCAAATCCTGCAAATATACTCAAAGGAAACAAATTCAGTATGACATAGAGATATGTGCACTCCCTTATTATGGCAGCATGGTTTGAAGAATAAGAAATCTACTTAAATGCCCATTAACAAATAAAAGATTTACTGAAATGTGATATTTCTAAAAAATACACCAGAATTCCATCATAGGAAAGAGTAGAATCATATCATACTTGCAAACTGGATTGATCTGGTGGACACTGTCTCAGGTAAAGGAAGTTGAGACACAAGCACTACATGATCTCAGTCATAAGAGAAATACAAAAAGAAAAAAGAGATGATAGATGTTGAAGGTACAATAGCAGTTCGCAGGGAATGGAGAGAATGTGACATAAATA